TTTATTATTTGTATAATTTTTATTTGATTTATTTATTTATTATTTGTATCATTTTTATTTGATTTATTTATTTATTTTTTGTATCATTTTTATTTTATTTATTTATTTATTTTTTGTATCATTTTTATTTTATTTATATATTTATTAATTGTTTCATTTTTATTTATATACTTATTATTTGTTTATTTATTTATTATTTGTATCATTTTTATTTGATTTATTTATTTATTTTTTGTATCATTTTTATTTTATTTATATATTTATTAATTGTTTCATTTTTATTTAATTTATATATTTATTAATTGTTTAACTCATATTTTATTCATTTATTTTTTGTATCATTTTTATTTTATTTATAATTTATTAATTGTTTCACTTTTATTTATATATTTATTAATTGTTTCATTTTTATTTTATTTATATATTTATTATTTGTTTAAATTTTATTTGATTTATTTCTTATTTATATCATTTTTATTTGATTTATTTATTTGTATTTGTTAACCTTCTTTTTGATTTGAATTATTTTTTCCTAATCTTCCTTTAAATGTTGCACTCCTTGCAGATAATGTCGCAAGCTGTTTCGGGAAAATTGGTTGTCATAAAAGAAACCCAGACCTTCCAGCTGGCTTTGAGAAACTGAGCCGATCCAGTTGTATTGCTTGAAAAGCTACTACCTATATTCGGCTGGAGCGTACATTCTATGAACTAATACACAAAAGTCACATCCAACAATAAGTTGTCAATGATTAGGCGTGTTCTCTTTACGAAAATGTTCCTCCACGCCCCGCACACCGAATGCGTCATTCAGGACATTTCAATTGTTTTATGTGCATTTCTCGTATATATGTACTACAAAACTTTAACTTGAGTTTCAAGTATGTATTGCTTATATAGAACAGAACTGTGACATGACTGTGTGTGTGTGTGTGTGTGTATATATATGTATGTGTATGTAGAATTTATGTACATATATAAAAGCTGCTGTCCCCACTCAACCTCAATGGCATTTGCATATAAAACGCTGCGTCATGTGCCGGCTGCCGCCTTCGGGCCACGGGCTACGGGCCACGGGCCAGAGACCACAGCAGCTCGTCGCTGCCTTCCGTTTGCCTTTTTCTTGGCAATGCCATCGTTGCGACCAGTTTTGTTTTGGTTAAAATTTATGGTCGCTAAATGTCATGTCGACTTCCGCTGCACGCGCAGCTTATGCGGCCCGTGCGGCTGGTCCGGCATGTGCGGCACAAGTGGCATGGGCGCCGCTCCCGTGCGCCATGTGCGGCAAATGCAGCAGTTTTCGCAAAACAGGCCACAGAGCCAGCCAAGCGGATTTTTCGTGGGCTCAGCAACGTAAGCCTACAAAGTTGTAGTAGGATGGTGGATGGATGGTAGAAGGAGCAGTAGGCTGAATGGGTTGTGGAAGGATTGCTTGGATGGTTGGATGGTTGCTTGCCTGCCTGCCCGCCTGCCCGCCCGTCAGCCTACTTTAGTTGCATTTAAAGTTGCAACCGACTACGTTGCTGCACATTTTGTTGTTTTTTATGCAAGCCGCCATGCTTGCTATATTGTTCTTGTTGTTTTTGTTGTTATTATTATTGTTGTTGTTGTTGTTTTCGTTGTCGTCAACGTTTTTGTTGCGTCCGTTTGCATATTTTTGTTGCTTGCTTGTTTATGTATGTTTGTGCCACTGTCTGTCTATCTGCCGCCTTTCTGTGCGTGTGTGTGTGCGTGTGTGTGTGTGCGTGTGTGTTTTTGTGTGGATGTGTGCGTATGTGTAATTCCATTTAATGTTCCTTTACAGTTTATGTCATGCGACAACAACAAAAAGCAAGAATTGCTTTGCTATTCGTCGTCGGGTCCAAAGAACGGGGTAGGGGGAACCAAGAAAGAACAGTAACCCGGCTGCCCAAAGGCAAACAAAATTGTTCCCAACGTTGCCTTTAAGCATTACAAACTTGATTTACAGCATTTGGGGCAGTGTGTCCGGCAATAAGATAACGTGCCATTTAATTTAACACGACACACTTCAACAAATGTTACGATGAACACGCACATGCAGCGCACAGACACACACACACATAATATATATATGTATATATATGTGTGTATACAAGGAATTTATATTTGCCTAGAAAAAGTCAACAAGAGCCCCGTTATATACTGCACAGTGGGACCAGAACAAACTGAAAGCGAACATTTATTTTAGATGCAAATATTTCAAGCACCAGAACCGCGCGCATCACAATTCGTAAACTTGAATACAATTAATTATTCTACAAATTTTACACTTATATTAAGAAATGACAAATGATTTTTATTATTTTTTTTTTTTATAGAAAAAAACTCAAAAATACGAATTTGGTTACGATATTAATATAGTTTGTTCCTGCACAGAGTGTGGTGAACATTTTGAATATAGTGAGCGGTTACGATATTGAAGAAATACCTATAATAAAAAGGGTAATCTACTTAGTAACGTTATGAACCATATTGTTGGTTAATCCTTCAAGAGAGATTTTTGAATTTTTTAACTCGTCGTGCTCATAAAAACATAAACTGCTTACGTTTTTGTATACACTCAATTACTGTGCCAGTACAAGGTATGCAAATTATGGTCCTACTGTCAAACTCTCAAAAAAACGGATTCCTTTGTTTATAATATAATTGTTTATAAACATAACACATGACATTGTAACGATTTCAAACAAAAAATAAAAATTTTCTTGTAGTGGGGCTATCACGACTATTTACATCAGACCTACCCCCATACCTTGTAGTTTCTATATACATTCCCTTTTCTTAGTTAACCTATTTTCCCTTTTAGGTATGGGACATTAAACACAGGTTTTCAATTTTTTCATTATGTGTGTAGCTTTAGTACGCATAGTTTTTGTAGCGAGTGTAAATGTGTACATATACATTATGAAATGCCCTGCGGTGGCGTACTTCATAGTCTGCAAATTCGCCATGTTCCGCAAAAAAAAGCTGGGAATATAAACAACGAGAGTCGTGCCAAACCGGCGGCTTCTACGCTTATCGCAACCGATATTCAAGATGTGTTGAGTGACGCGCCTTCAGTGAATCAAGAGCTCGCGAATTGAAAACAAACAATTGCGCATAATTCTCGTGCATATACTCGTACTACTATATATTAAGAATAGTGCGCTGACACTGAAGCTTTAGCAGCATGCCCGCTGAAGCCTCTTCCTACCGGCATAAACGCCTTCATGTTAAAAGATTTGATCAATGGCATTTGCGGCAGCGAGCTGGACATGTGCCAGAAAACTGGCGACGGCACGCTCCTGATTAAGACACGCACCACGGAGCAGACCCGTAAGTTATTGCCACTTCGCGCGCTACCAATCGGGGTGGGCCTGTACCTGCCCGTTCTCGTCATTGAGTGCTGTAGAAGCCCGCACTGCCAAGGCATCATATACACCCAAGAGCTGCGCAAGCTGGACAAGGCAACGATTTTGAAACGCCTACAGTCCCAAAATGTGTCGAATATCAAAAAAATGCTCAAGAAGGAAAACGGCAAGCTTGTAGACACCGGTCTCGTCATCGTCACCTTTCTCAGCACTCAATTGCCTGAGATGCTCTTCCTAGGCTACGAGATGGTGCGGGTGCGACCCTTCATACCACGCGCTGTGCGTCAGAGAATAACGCTACGCGAGGAACGCATGAGCGAAACACTCCAGAATGCGATGCAGTGGAGTGGCAGAGACGCGGCCCATCACGCAGCCCTAGTGGCTGTGCAGGAACAGGCAGCTATTGCTCACATCTGCGGCTCGGTCAACTTTGCGGCCAATGTGGTGGAAATTTTGAAGAGAGTAAGTTTGCAAGTGGAGCTCCAAAAGATTGTGTTGCTTTCAATTGAAAAATGGTTTGTGTTGTGAACCAAAACGAAGCTCAATAGCCTTAAAACTTGTACGATTCTGCAAGTGTATATTGCGTTTGATTTGATATTTTAATATCAAGGAGGTGGGCAGGCCCGATGAGGTCGATGGTCGCATAAATAGTCAGGAAACTGTTACATTCCAATTTAATTTTGAAGTCGAAGATGTTGCATTTTATACTCATAGTTGAAGAGAGAAGTTAAGTCGCCATTGCGTGAAAAAAAAATTATTTCATTCAAATCGAATGCGTCTCCTTACTTTCCCTTGCTTCCATTTAGCAGAGCCAGAACCGGTATAAAGAACTGTGTTGTTAATAGAGTATTTAAATAAAATATTCTCTGGGTTCTTAAGAGTGCAATTAATTGAATTGTAAGCGTTATTTGGTACAGCACTTTACTGTACAGTAATAACAGAGGTATGTGCTCCAACACACTCGTGACGTCATCTTCGTGATGACCACTGTTGAGGGCACTGCCTTGTGCTGTCGAGTGGGCCCGATGCCTGGTACTCACACACAGGTCCCGGTGGATGACAAAGTGTGTCTCCTCTGTTGTTCTTGCCACTCGAGCTGCGACACAAATATCAACAAGAGCAACAATAACAACAACAACAACGACATGTTCTCACACGCTGTGCCGCCTTAGCTGCGCCTTAACAGCCGTTGCCTACTTCTAGGCGCCTGTGTTCACATGGTGCTTGTGTGAGCTGTGTTCCTTTGTATTAACTCATCCAAGTCACTTCAGCCAATAAAACGAAATGAAATAAACTAATGCCCAAGTAAGGGCGAATGCGATGGCGGAAGTGGCAAGTGAATATGAGGATGGGAGAAATGTGAAATGCGTGGTAAAGGGAAAGGGAAAGAGTGTTTACTTAGCCAAAGTTTGTAAGACTGCAAAGAAATACAATTCACACACAAATCTCAAGTCCGGAAAAGGAAGAGAGGCAGTGCTGTCTGCTCTTGTTGCTCGTCTAATGCCGTACGAGTAGTGAAGAATAGCTGCAAGAGGTGCTATAATCTTTGTGGACCGAGATACGCATTGCTGGTCCGTTGTGAATGCCCCAAACATGCTGACCAAGCTATTCTCTTTCATTGTTTCATTGCAGGTGGATGGCCAGAAGTACATGGGCCAAGGGCGAAGCAAAAAGGTTGCTCGCATCGAGGCAGCTGCCACGGCACTGCGCAGCTTCATTCAGTTCAAGGATGGCGCTGTCCTGTCGCCGCTGAAGCCAGCGGGCAACTTGGACTTCACCAGCGACGAGCATCTAGAAAACGGTATTGATATTGAAAATATGAGCAAACAAGAGTTGGTTCAACGAATTGAGGCTATGATTGTGCTTGAAAAGAGCCCCGCATTAACCCCGTTTGTACATTTCATGTATGATCGCATGAGTCAGAGCAAGTATTCGTTTCCTTTATTTGATTTATTTAGTATTTTACTTTAACACTGGGTGCACATCACAAAAAAGTTTCAACATTTTAAGACCTTTCTTTTTTATGGCGTGTATCCAGCCTTTTGTATTATTTATTTATTAAATTTTGTTGGTGATTTTTGTTGTGTTGTATTTATATATTGCTTCTTCACTAAAATTAATGATGAGAACCTGGTAAGCCAACTATAGTTTATGTGTTGCAGAGTATTAAAAGCAAGAAAAAGATTATAAGTATGTATTGTTCTTCTAACCCATGAATGATGTTTAACAATTAATTAAATTATTCTAAGAATTTGGAGTATAATGCACCTTTATATATATTTTTATACCCTGTACCCGTAGGGTAAAAAGTCTGTCCGTCCGTCTGGATGAACGCAAGGATCTCAGAAACTATAAAAGCTGGAATAACCAAAGTTGGCATCCAGATTCTCCTAGGTCCGAGTAAGGACGAGTTTACTTTATTTTTTTTAATTTTCCCCCCCTTCGCCCGCTACAGAATTTCGTCAATAGCGTCCACATTTTAAATGCTACCTAAACCAAACTTTGCACACATAATTTATATATAATTGTTGTTCAAAATTTTATTCAATTCGGTCAATTCTAAGAAAAGTTATTAGCAAAACAAATTCTCGCCAGTACAACCCCCCAAACTGCAGCAACAAGTTCGCTCTTCTTCTTCCTCTTTTTGCTGCTGCTATGGGCGCATATAACTCAGTGACGCAAATTTACCTGGGTACAGGGTATTACACTGTCGGGCTTGCTCGACTGTAGCGTTCTCTTTTGTTTTTTTTTTTAGTATGTAGAGAAGAATTGACATTATAAAGCCATTATAAGACTCTTATATAACAACTGAACTACAATTGCTTTACGAATAGCAAATAGGTATCCAGAGGTCTATATATTAATACTAACCTGTAAAACTTGAAAGAAGGATCTCTTATTATAGAATACATCATATACTTAAACTCATTCTAAATTGATAGAAATCGGATGACCATAAAATACTACTGAAAGACTATTTAGTTATTGGGTGGCAATGTAGCGTTTATTTATATACAAGTAAATCCTTATAATTTCTGTTCAATCGCTCGTGTTTTTATGTGTATTTATGTTTGCTTTGCAACATTTGGTTTTGTGTTAAGCTTATGTGCGTGCGATTTTGTTTAAAATATTTTTGTTCATTATAAAAGCGAATGCTTAATTTTATTTTGCATAGTTTGGTTTCCTCCTCTGCTCAAGACAACAAGCCGCCCAAACACCCGCGTATTAGCTCAGATATCTAAGTCAGGGCTGTGCATTCCAAGTGCTGCCAACAACCTGTAACAGTTTTCTTATTCATATTCCGCACCCCCTGCCAGATGTTAACAAGAGCGCCATAGCGGTTGATGGACAGAAGAAGGTGCCAGACAAGGGGCCCGTGATGCTCCTCTACGAGCTCTTCAATGATGTCAACTTCGAGTGCATGAGCATTGACGGTGCCCAGAACAATTGTCGCTTCAAGATGACCGTCACCATCAACGAGAAAAAGTTCGATGGCACAGGTGAGAAAGAAAGATATAGAAAGATGAGAATATGAAAGATTACCTCATTATGCTTTGCCTTGGCAGGTCCCTCCAAAAAGCTGGCCAAAAATGCTGCCGCAAAGGCTGCGTTGGCCTCGCTTTGCAATATCTCCTACAGTCCAATGATGGCGCCTCAGAAGAATGTTCCACTTCCAATCGACGACAAGTCATCGTCCATGGAGTTGCCACAGATTCATGCCGACACCATTGGCCGGCTGGTGCTCGAAAAGTTTATGGAGGTCATTAAGGGTCAGGAGGCGTACTCACGCCGCAAGGTTTTGGCGGGCATTGTCATGACGGAGAACATGAACTTCAGCGAAGCCAAGGTGAGTACCCGAGGTGAGAAGAGCAATGTGCTGACAACTGATTATTGTCTCCTATTATCGCAGGTCATATCGGTTTCAACGGGCACCAAGTGCGTCAGCGGCGAGCACATGAGTGTCAATGGAGCTGTGCTCAACGATTCCCACGCCGAAATCGTCTCCAGGCGTTGCCTTCTCAAGTACTTGTATGCACAACTGGATCTACAGTGCAGTCAGGGTATGGTTCTCTGATTTGTCTTAAAACTGCAACTGAAACTGCATTTAGTAGCTGGCGTGAGTGGGTGTTCGTTTGTGTGTGCATGCATTTGCTGTAGCTTTATAATTTCTACTTGAAACAGTCGGTTGTAGACGGTACAGATAGTACAGATATATGTATACTATACACATATTAACGAGTAATTGTATGCATTATACGCGTCTACTTTGGAATACGTTGCATTGCATGCCACATACAAGTATATGTACCATATGTTCATCCCGATCCCACCCAAATACAAATCCATATGTTTATCTAAAAACTCCATAGCTTATTTATGTTTCCATGTACATGTACCTAGCTTGTAAATATGTATGTATTTGTAGCGTAGTAGTCGTTGCTTCACTGCCTTATCGCCTCACCTTATTTTCAATAATTTGTGTGTAAGACAAATATCCTTAGTTGGCGCTTAATTACGACTATCGCATGCCCACATTCGTTCCGTTAGTTAACGTCCAATGCTCGCCTTCATTATTGTGTTTTGTTATGGCCGTCACGATTGCGTTCTTTTTTCTGGCAGCCGCCCAGGGCCACGTCCAATTTGGCATTCGCCCGCCACGAATGAATGGGCCTGTCAACTGAGTTGGAGACTCAAACTTTTGCCTAATTCGAGTTGATGTCAAAATGAAGGCTATCAGTCCACCATCTAGAGTAATATTTCAAACAGAAGATATAAAAACAGCGAGCTGGAGGTCTCATTTAAATTAAATGCAGTGTTCTACGCCTGGCTGGCAAGGATTGACCATTTTTTTTTTACATTTTTAAAATTTTTTTTTACTATACAATGAAAGAGTGCATCATGTTGTTATATCATCTGGACATCTTGAATATAGTACATAGTTAAATGTAAAAGAATATATTTTTGTAAGCCAGAGACAGTATTCTTTTAAATATTATACAAATAGAAAGTGGAAATCGTAAAAAATATAGTAGAAAATAGAAAGTACAGCTTTTGTTTCGACTGACTTGGGCCTCCAGTGCATCTGCCTTAGACTTACACGAAATTCAAAATTATTTAGCTAAACTACTTATGTAGTGGCATTTATTATTTGTTATGCTATGTGCTTTGAGTTTTATGTGGAAAATCAGTTACTTTCTTAGTGAGCGATTGTTAAATACTTATCTAAGATTTCCCTCCAAATAGCTAATCACATGTCATCACATGCTTTGCAATATTGGATGAGTTGTGTATGAAGAAACAAGGTTACTTGAAATTGTTTGTAGAACCGAACACATGGTATTTTACTAAAATTCCAATTTTCCATTTTAATTATTACATAAATTATTTTATTTAGATTTTATTTCTCTGAGCTTTCTTAGTTACAGCGCAAACAACACTCTTGAATTCTCGGCGTAGCTTTTCTACACCTCTTCGAAAGATCATAACAGATTTAAAATGCAACTAGCAAGAATTTTTCTTCATTGCTTTTTAGCGCGATTATGTTTTTAGAAGTACTTATATACTTATAGAATTTTGGTTGATTTTCTTTATTCAAGACCAAGAAAACATTTTTAAAACTTGTACTCTTTGAAACTAACCTTGAAGCAAAAAAGCAGATGAAGATGAAAAGCAGTTAAAGTTTTGTAAAAAGCAAACAAAAAACAAATCAAATTACATAACGAAACCTAAAACTTTACTTTAATTTCATTTGTATTCGATTGCTTTTATTTACTTTTTTTTTCTTAATTATAGCAACAGCATATCAGTCGATTTTCGTGAGGAATACAGATGGGCAATACCCTTATAAACTAAAATCCGGGGTACATTTCCATTTGTATATAAATACAGCACCTTGTGGGGATGCACGGATATTTAGTCCTCACGAAAACGACACTGGTGTTGACAAACATCCAAATAGGTTGGTACAAAAACTCCTCCTAAATACTATATACTATGTACTACTACTACTACTACTACTACTACTCAACTCTATACAACAACAACAAAAACCAAAATCAATCGCAAAATACAATCCAAATGAATATTAAGTACTACTCCAATTACAAATACACCAAATTACTTTCACAGTTTTCCGTTCGCTCGACTATAACTGTGCGCAGGCTTGTGCCTGGAGTCGCAGTTCTAGTGCTCGCGTTTGTGTTGGCAGCACGCAGGTGACCGAGTCCTGGGCCAGGGACTTGCGAGCCAGCGCTGCCTACACGTGCGCGAAAGATCCTGTGCATGCCTCACTCACAAACATTGTTTTTTTTTCGTGAATTCATTTCATAACTTATGTGTTTATTTCATGTTTTTTTTTTCCTATGGACGCTTTTTATACCGTGATAGGAAGATGTTGGAACCTAAAGGGGGAGCAATATATCTCTTAAGTTAGGAATTCATTTGAATATCAACTCTCACATACTGAAATAAGGAATTAAAAGACTAGACTAGAATTTCACCAGAATTATAATATTATAATTAGAAAGTATACTTAACTGCCAAACATCTATAGAAACATGAAATAAATCGTTAATTAGCGCGAGACATCAGTAGAGTCAGCTTATTATTGTAAAGCAGTCTTAAAAGTACAATACCTTTTAAATAGCCTCATAAATAATTTTTAAACAGCCCTGTATTGGACCCACATGCATTTGCAGTCCAGTAAATGCTGGTGGAAAAGGCAGGATAAGACAAAGGATTTAAACAACATGAAAATGAAAAGTATAGCTCAAAACATTGGTGTAAATGTTTCTTTGGAAATTGTTAGGCTTGGATACTTTGGAGATATATTCTATCAGAAGTTCTTAGTTGGTTTATTTATTTATTTTTGTTTATTGTTCTCCTATAGAAATGTTTGGGTATAAAAAGTGTTCCATAAAAAACGGTGGGTCAGTTTCATAATTAGGTTCGATTTTTTTTGTTTGAAATATCACTAGTAATAATCCTTAAACATGAAACTATGTGTCTTGAGTTTTTGCCTTTGTGTTACGTTCAAAATCTGCACCCTAAATCCAAGAACTACTATTGTCATTACCATCTGGTCTTAACCTATCACTATCGTTCCCTTTTGGCCATATAAATGCCTGCCATTGACAACATGCAACTGATTGATTTTTGGTTCTACTCCACATAAATTCTGTGCCTGCTACCATGCCGTCACGTTGCGCTACCGTGGTTTAACCCATAACTGCGGCTTGGACCACACACCAACACCAACGCCACACACAACGTACTCTTCACAACACATTGTCTCTCTGTCTCACACACACACACACACACACACACACACACACACACACACAAACACAAACACAAACATCAACACATCCAACAACCCCACATCTGCGCTTATATGCTACACAACCACTCTAACCACTACTAACGGACAGGAAAGCACGCGGTCAGCTGCGCACGAAAATCGAGTCCGGCGAGGGCACCATACCGGTGAAGAGCAGCGACGGTATACAGACCTGGGACGGGGTGCTGCAGGTGAGTTTAATGTCAGTTCTGTGTATTACCAGATATTAATCTCTGTCCGTGCGTGTCTGCCTTATCACAGGGCCAACGTCTGCTAACCATGTCGTGTTCGGACAAAATTGCGCGTTGGAACATCGTGGGCATACAAGGTTCGCTGCTATCCTCCATTATTGAGCCGGTGTATCTGCACTCGATTGTGCTGGGCAGCCTGCTGCATCCGGAGCACATGTATCGTGCGGTGTGCGGGCGGATTGAGAAGTCTATACAGGGCCTGCCGCCGCCATATCATTTAAATAAGCCACGTCTGGCCCTGGTTACGTCCGCAGAGCCTCGCAACCAAGCCAAGGCACCCAATTTCGGCATCAATTGGACCATTGGCGATACGGAGCTCGAGGTGGTCAATTCTCTGACTGGCCGTACCATTGGAAATCAGGTGTCGCGCATTACAAAGCAAGCATTCTTTGTTAAATACGGTTTTCTGATGAAAAATTTACCGGGCATAGTCAGCCGCAAGGTAACGACAGACTACGGTCAGACGAAAGCCCGTGTCAAGGACTACCAGGTGTGTAGGACTCATTCAATGACAACAGAAAATAATGCCACCTCCCCAAGTTGCATGAATATTTTGACATAGCTCAATGAGCCGTTGATCGAATTAATTCCAACATTGGAAAGTATGCTTTCCGGGAAAAGTGTAATGGAAAGATAAAGTTCTGCAGAGATATGCTCTGAAGAGAATACATTTCTGGAACCCTTTCCGTTATTTCGGTAACCCATTATTCATCGATATTGTGGAGAGAAAAAAGTGTCACCCCAAAAAAACACGAATGAGGCAGGCTTACATTACATACGAGAGAGTATTTACCGTTACAATAGCGATAGATCGCGGCATGAGAGAGGCAACTAGGCTGCTATTATGATCAGTGTTGCCAATTTCATTCTATCCCGTTAAATCTGGTTGTTTTTTAAATAAAATTGCGGGAAGCGAGAATTCTGGCTTTTTGCTAAATTGCATTTAGCTTTTGTTCCGCCTTTTGTAGCTTGGTTCTCTTTAAAGAACAAAAGTGCCGTTCTCCAAAATAATAAAAACCTTGAAAAATACATTTTACTAAGTAATTTTATAGTCTGTACCCAAAGGGTAAAAGGCTATACTAGTTTTGTGCGAATATATGTAACAGGCAGAAGGAGGCGTGGCAGACCCCACAAAGTATATATTCTTGATGAGGATGACAAGGCGAGTCGATATATCTGTCCGTCCGTCTGGATGAACCCAAGGATCTCAGGAAGCAATTTCGAGAAAGGACGAGTTTGTGTTTTTTTTCTGATGCTCCCTCCCCCCCCCCACTCCCCGCCAATTCGTGTTTTTCCAAATTCATCCATATAGTAGTTATGTGTCTGTTTGCCAAGTTTCATCCTGATAGGTTAATTATGAAGAAAGTTATAGCCATAAACATAATTATTTTTTTTTTTTTTGTGGGGTGGTACAGGGTATTTAAGAGTTGAGCCCGCTCGACTTTAGCATTCCTTTCTTGTTTGTATAAAGAAATGTAGCTTTTGTTACGCTTTTTTGTTCAAGTTCTTAGCTTTATTTATATTCCTTCTAAAAAATTAGTAACACTGATTATGAGAGGCCTCTGGTCAACAACATTTTAGACAACAGTAAAGAACAGTATTTTAAAAATTAAATTATTGATTCATTGCAACTGTGTGGTGTGTTATTTGTTGTTATTGACATTCATAAATACACATGTACATTAAATTATAAATGACTAATTTTCTACCATCGTTCAGATTGCCAAACTGGAGTTGTTTGCTGCATTCAAGCGTGAGGATCTCGGCAGCTGGTTGAAGAAGCCCATTGAGCAGGATGAGTTTGGACTTGCCGAATGACTGCACTTAGCAGGAAACGCGACGGCCATACCAACAACAATACACACCAATACCAATGTAGTAGTAAATTATTCGAGTATCAAACCGAAAGAAAAAGACAAGAGCAGCAAATGCGTTGGCAGCACTGGCAGAGACAATGGCAACCGCAAGCAATTAATAGACGTAGGCGTTGTAGCTCGTACAACAAAATCTAGTTTAGTATGCAATCTTAATTTGGTGCAAGCAGAGCAAAGCAAACAATTTCATTTGATTGATAAAATGCTTGATGTAAAGATAATGTATGCAATGCGCAGCTATGCAACTGAAGATGCTAATGTTCGAAAGATGAACAATTGCTCTAGAATATTTCTAGAATAGAGTGTAGTTTTTATGCTGGAACTGAGTAAAGAAGTATTATGGCGTTTTAGTAGAAATCAATTTATTATTTTCTAGCCACCAATCGCCCCACACACACACACACACACACACACACACACATACATACACAACACACATACACCTAAACTTATACGCAAACACATTTTACATCTCTCACTCCCTCTCTCAATTTCTATATTTATATCCTACCCTCTCAAACTATACGTCTTTCTTTATATATATATATATATTTATATATATCTCTCTCTATCTCTTTCTCTCTGTACACAACTAACTCTTGATATAATAATTGTTAGTTGCATACATTTGACTAAGTATCACCTGCTAATATAATCTCTTATGCAATAAATACAGTCATAACTAAATACACATTCACAGCCACGCCCACGCACACGCATGTCAACCTCAATTACAACAACAACATAGGTGTATAAAATACAATGTAAGAAATAAATATCAAACAATATTTGTAACACTCATAGACGTTCTGATTTCAAATTTGTCTAAGGCTAGCGACTTATGTATTACCTCCTAGACTATGAAGTCGTTTGAAAGGAACAGATGAAGCAGAAAAATATATTTAAGAAGAAAACCCAAATAATAAAAAAAAAAAACACAGGCATAGTTTGGGTGTAAACGTAATGTTCGCTGAACTCTTACATTCAACTTTATTGTTACCCTGACTTGCAGGCGTATAAAGATCCCTTTCCCACGCCGTTGAAATAGCGTCGTCGGTTTACTTTCCCGTCTCACTCAGTATTCTGTTACGTCATTTTTCATTAAGCGCTTCTCCAATGGGTGCTCTACGAATACGAATACCATGCAACGAAACAATTTTACCTTCCAATATTTTATTTGTGTCTATACTCCAAAACATATTTGGATTTTAAGTTATAATATTTTTGTATATAGCGCAGTAGAGAGATCCTCTGTTAGTAAATCGTGATCATGTACTTATTGAGTTCCTTTAGGTTTTGTTTGTATATTTATTATTCTTATGTTTACTTAAACCATGTTGTGCAGCACCCAATATTGTTTGATGAATTTCTCTATATTATTTTTATATTTATTTATTAGTACTATTATTTGTTATTGTCACTATTTTCTTGAACTAGCACGTGACCATATGCCGGGTTTTTATTTGTTCCTGTGATATATTCTTCCAAAAGCAACTTTCCAAGATCTTCCAGTGCAGCACAATCCATAGAGACTCATATAGAAAGGAGTGTTTTTTTAAAATAGTCATGGCATGTGTTTGAGCTTTTAGCTGAGTGGGTCCAAAGTGATTTGTTTGGGGCTTCAATTGAGCAAGTCAGCATAGAGACAGTCAGATAGACAGACAGACAGAATACAGAAAAATAGTTCAGCATCTTCCAAAATCACACATTGCCCAACTTCTCCTTCATGTTAAAGATTAAATATTGAAGATTAAAGATTTACATATGTAACGAAAATGCGACAAATGCATCGAGATGCTCAGACGTGGCATGCGGTCTCTGTTTTGTCAATTGGAATCTGAAAGACTTTAAAAGTGGACTAATTGAATAAAAGAAAGTATATACAAGAATAAAATTTAAATTTAAAATACAAAACTAACCAATCAAGTGCATAACGAAATATAAAAGTAATGCAAATACGAATCATATGAATATTTTTAATGGTTTTGAAATTAACTTATTTTCCTTCATTATTTCTTTTAGTTTTTGTACAAAAAACCAACATTGACACTAATTTGTTGGACACCTGAAATTCAATTGTTTGGTCATCGTTATAATTTGTTTTTGGTTATAAATATACAAGCATTTTTCTCACCTACACGACGAATAACATTTTTGTAATCGTATACGTAATGGAAATTACTTTTAGGAAAATCAGAAAAAGAAAACAAATATCGAATACAATAAACATATTAAAGAAACTCTTAAAGCGTAACTCAAAACACAAAACCAACTTGGGCGCGTATACAAAATTCAAAGGATAATATTTACGAGTATATATATATAGTATAAAAATAGTTCGTTTTGACGAGATGCGCTATATTTATTAAATACATATGTACGCTCCAAAGTAGCCAGAAAATGTATGCTAAAAACCCAACTAAATCCTATGATCAAACTATGAAACTAATAACGAGAATATCTAAAGGGAAATTAAATATATAAAAAGGAAAAATATTAACGACAACTTTTCATAAAAGTAAACAACTTTGCGCTCTGCAAAATGCATGAAGCCTTTTCTTCAAATTATTTAGTGCAATACAAATAAATTAATTAACTAAAATTAAACACAACATTTAACGAACATTTTAAACAGAAATCGAATAAACAATTTAATAAAAAAAAAGAAAAGAAAAACATAAAATCAAAAACAAAACAACTAAATTGTAGACTAGCAGTTGAAAAAATACGCTCACACCTACACGAACACATTCACCAACATACACACACAGAGAAACATTCACACATACATATACAAATGACTGCAAGGTGATGTGCAAAATGAACGAATTATTAGTATTATAAACTTATATGGTGCATGAATAAACGATATAAAATGCGCCATAACTTGTATTCAAAGCGTAGTGTAGTGATTTTCCAAAATACAACTTTTACAACACACACACACACACACACGCAAAAAACAAACGTACGGAAAATTGCATAAAATCTTAACAAACAGCGACAAGGTGGTGTGGTTTAGGAACTATTTCAGTTACAATTTCTGCATGATTAGGGCAATCGAAATTGATGAAATGCAGGGGATTTTAAATAAACAACCAGTCTGTTATATTAATTCCAAGGAAAGAATTTCGTATGTTCTGTAACCAAAATGCTGAGAAGTAATGGTTAACCTGTGTATGTCTGTCCGGCAAATGAGACCCCACAATTGTCGGGAAAATTTGGTTTATTTCCAGTCCTATTTCACGATCGAGATTTGTGGCATATTTTAATGAAGTTTGTTGAGATAGGCCATGAAAAAATTTGTAAATAATTAGCTAGCACATTTTTCAAATTTCAGAAGCATGGCATGAACCAATAACAATTCTTCAGAGATGATTTTTCAAAGCATTATAATAAAATGTTGGGTGCAAATTTTTTCAATGTCTGTCATGTGGGGTAATAATATATGCCATGAATAAAACAAATATGATTCAGTTTTTCGGACAATTCGCTTGAATTATTATTCGTTAATCGTTAGCTTTATAGTTCCGTCAATATTTAATTCCCAGTTATGATTTGCTTTGTCCGCTGGGTACTTTTTTTTGTATAGTTGGAACGGTCCAACTATTGGTTCCTTAATTGTTTGTTGCGGAGAAGCTGCAGCTGTAGTGTGAACAAGACGAAAAAAAGATAACGATACAGATAAAACTCATTAAAAACTCGGCAATCTAGCTGGCTGGTGCATTAGCTTTTTTCACTTGGACAATAAGAGATGCTTGTAATTTTGAAACGAAATTCTCGCTGTAAGTTCTTTGATTGCTTTTAACTAGAACCTACATGTATTTCTCTTGCTCACACTACCAGACATTGCTTACAGGTGCATGCAGTTAGTTAATAGCCAAGATTCCAGAGTTCGGTTACTTACACTATGTAGTAGTATATATTTGGATAGTAAATCCATTTCATTTGCCCTACTTGTGATTTGTTTTTGTTTTTGGGTTTGGTTCAACTAGCGAACACATCATACACAACGCTGAATCATAGATGAAATTATATATGTAGAGCTTGGGTATAGTTAATGCACACACACCCACACACATACATACACACAAACACACACTTGGGCCTGTATACACATACACATGTGTGTGTATAATTACACATATATAGTACGAGTATACATAAGTATATATACAATGAATTTTAGAGAGGAGAAAGCAAATATACATGCATACAACAAATAAACAAAGAACAAAGATAAATACTTACAAGTATATACGAAAATAATTAATGAAAAAAGAAAACAACAACAATTACAAATAACAAACAAATACATAATAACAGACATATATAACTAAATTTGACCTTATATAAAATACTGTGATACTAAATTTTACTAGTACTTCCAGCATAGCTGCATTTTATCCATTCTAAAATATTCTAAGTTATAAAAACAACAACAACAACAACAAGAAGAATAACAACAACAGCAAAAGAATATGGAGATCAAGAATATGAATACGATGAACAGCATGAATATGGCATTAAAATGAAATTGAACAGCAAGCGAAATTGTTATAAAAATTATTAGAAGTAACTAACTTATTTACTTAGTTGATCTACTTATATATATATACAAGATATATATATTATATATAAATTTCATTCAATTAGGTTTTTTTTTCGAAAATTAGGAAATACTATGTATGTATACATAAATAAATAATAACAATAGTCATGTATTTATTTATTTATATATACCACATATACACATGTACAGGTATGTGTGTGTAAAATGAACAACTGTTTGGTTTCGTTAGGCAGCAATTTGAGGAGGCGCGAGAGCCATTTATAATTACAATACAAAATTATTATATTGTATACACATAGGACATATTTGAAAATTTCACCATGTACTCAATGGAAATTTAAGAAACCATAATACAAATATTTTGCGGCAAACAACCAAAAACTACGTAAGATATATATATATGTATATATTATATACAAACATATATATACATACAAGACAAGAAAATTGATCAATAAATTATTAAAGTATACAGATGACGAAAATTACAAGCAAATATTTTAACACGAACGCTTTTAAATGCCATTCAGATGGAACTATTATATAGAACACATACTATATAGAGCAAGCAGCATGGCAACATAATTTTAAAAAAACCAAACCAAACAATCCGATGGATGAAGTTGAAATAAACGCAGTCAATATTCCAATATTCCAAACTACATTTTAATGAAACAAACAAATTTGTATAACAGAAAGGGGAGACAAATACAAAAATACCTACAAATAGTTAGTTGCTCTTTGTTATACTCCTAACAGATATATAGTACATATACCTAGGCATAGATTTTTTTCTTCCCAGCGTTTTTTCGTTTCCCAGTGGAAGATTTCGTATAGGCACATACTCGTACATACATACAAGTACATACATATATGCATAAACATATTCGATTGAGAGTATGTGAGAGTATTTAAGAAAATTTTGCACAGGCAAAAGTTTTACAAACCTACTTTTTAGGCAAACTATATGCAAGGGTTTAAAAAACAGCTCAAATAATACTGAGAGGTGGGTTCCAATATATGTATATATATGTGGCACCTGAACAGCATCTGTGTATGTCTCCTGAGACATATCCTCCGCTTCCATAGTAGTTGGCGAGTGCACAGCACTGCTTTACGAGTATAGGTTCGTACAAAACGAGTATGTATGTAGCTGTCTAGTTCATTTATACACAAGTACAAGTAATTCCCAAAAAAAAAAAAAAAAAAAAAATTAGTCAGTCAGCCAGTTAAGGATGTTATGCTCCAGCTCCGATTCCAGCTCAAGCTCAAGCCAAGCAAATCCCTGTACTTCTATGAGAAAGCAATTACGCGTACTTATCTAACAGCTCCAGTAAATAGTTTAATAATGAGAGTAAGCAAAACAAACAAACGAAGCAAATCAATACGATACTAAGCACACCCAGCAGAAAAGCAAGAAAATGTACGCCCATAACTAGTTTGCTCATTAAATCCAAAGCGAAAAGGAAAACCCACATATGTAGATACATGTAGAAGATGAAATAAAAGCAACCTTTGTTTTATGTTTTAAATCAAATCGAATCGAATCGAATCACAACAAAAATTGCGGCTAGAACGATGAATGTCAATCTAAACAATATTAACATGAATATATATATGTATACACATATACATATATGTATTTATAAAGTATTAATTGTAAACAAATTATTTTTAGTGGCTTACTCTTCAGATTCACTTGCAAATTTAGTAGTAAACTTACAATTAATTTCTTCTCCCAAACAAACTATTTAAACAAATCGAGAAAAACAAACATACATACTTAGAGCTATTTAAAGACGAAACACAACATATGTATACATACGAGAACGGAATAAATTATTACTTACCAACAATGGAAACTAAATACTACTTAATTAAAAGTATATTGTTATCGAGTGACAACAAATTTTACTTATGTAGTTTGAATTTGTTTCTTTTCTTGGCTTTCAATGCGTATTACACACACACACACACAGACACACATGACATATGCACACAGAAGAAGTAAAGGTACGTAAATACCTAAATGCATACTCACACACATATATATATATATATATATATATATATATACATATATATATAACATGCATACATACATACATACACACATACCTACATACAAAAACTAAAATGTTGTAAAGAACAAGTGGGGAACAGCAAGTGGTGAAAAAAAAAAAACGAAAATGCAAACGCTGTTTGGCAAAGATTTGACGAATGAACCAATCAAATAAACAACAAAATGTTTTTAAATGCAATAAATAGTAAACAACAAAAACAATGAAACCAAAATTATAGAGGAAAACCCAATTACAATTTGTATTAATGAGAACGAGAGCGAATCATATAAGATAAATTGTAATAGGAAATTATAAATGAAGGCAACCAAAACCAAAAACAAACAAATGAAATAAATGAGTAAAAACAATTTTTGAAGTTACCAAATAATTACAAATCTCCAACAAAAATTTTACTTACTGAATAAAGAAAATGAAATGAAACGGTTGTATGCTATACTGATTTATTTTTATCTCGAATTTGACAGTGCACTATAAGTGCCATCTGATGAAAAGTGATACCAACTGGTCCGTAATTAGAACTTGCTTTCATATTCATATGAAATTTGAGAGCGTATGCTTAAAATATTTTATGCTTCCAATGGTGTTACGGCTACAGAATAGTGGAAAATGTTGCAGAAGTATTCGAAGAACGCAATTATGTATTTGAGGGTCATACATACTTGTATGTATATTCGTTAGACAGCTGCATGAATGGCAAAAAAACCACATTCGATTGCACAATGCTCAAAATGAGTTGAGTGAATTAGAATGCAAAGGCAAAATGATATGAATGAATGAGTATACACATGTACAACTCAGTCGCACTCAGTCGAAACGTAGAAAAACGAATTGAATGGAGTGAGAATACGAAAAACTTAGACGTAGTTCTCGAATGATTCAAATGACAAACCGGTAAAGAGGAAAGAAAAACTGTACTCAATAAAATGGTTGATATTTATATTTTCATTTGTATTTATTTTACTTATTACTAACATAACAACATATTTATTTTATATTCGAATTTAAGAACATTATCTGGTTAATTTTGTCAGGATTAATGGCTAATAGGCAACATTTTTCTGTTATTAAATATATAGCGTTTGAAAATGTGCGTTCCGAAGCTACGCTACTGGTTGGAATGCAAAATATTTTGCAGCTTGTTTTGTGCAACAGAGGAACCTCCTCCTTTATATAATGAATTGTACAGGACAAATACGACGCTTTTAAATAATTATCTGTCCATATATCACTGGTGATGGCATATCGATTTCGGCCTTTATCGGCCGAAAATGTTTTCCGATATGTCAATTGTTTCATTCCGTTTTATTTATTCTAACTCATTTCAATGAATGTCGTATGCTATGAGACACAAGACGCACTCATATTCATACAAATTCAATTCATTTTCAATGTCCCACTTACTCAACTCAATTCAATTCGATTGCATTATTTTCAACGTACCTTAGCCATGCAGCTGTCTAATATACGTACATACATACATATGTATGTACTATATGTAGGCCGTCCAGTAAGGCCGTAAATGAAATTGCGCTCGGGCATCGTCGTGTTGGCAGTAGGGAGTAGAGTACCCGAGAATCTCAACATCTCTTATGAATCGACTGAACACATTTTAATTGATGGTTTGGGTTTGAAGTAGAGATGGGCATGGGCCGGCTATTTTCGGCCCGACACGGCCACGAAATGAAGACGCACGCGCACGCTCATCGAAAATATTTGTAAACACGGCCCAACATGAACATGTTATAGGCATTAAATGTAAAAACGAAAAATATATCCATAAATTTGTATTATCTATATTAGAGCTAAGAAGCCGAGCTCATCGTTTATTTAAAATGTCTCCAGAAGTGAAAAACTTGTTCACTTATTTGAAGAGCTGTCAGGGATATTGACTATATGTCTTGATATTTGCCTTAGCAATTCCAATTTTTTTTTGCTTTTTTCCATTTCTTTAATAATTATCAAAAGTCGTGTTGACTTTTTTTTATTACTTTAGTTGTTACTTTTTGTTCGTTTTTGCTCGTGCGTGCTTTGTGTGCCTTTATAGCTCAACACGAACACGCAGGGCCACGCACGAAATCGGAATTTGCAACACGAACACGCGTGTCACGACCGGAAACACGGCCCGTGCCCAACTCTAGTATGAAGCACTTAAACTCCAATTCGTGGATTTTTCACCACGAAAGCTGCCGTCGAATTCCAGCCTGCTTGTGGCTGAATTTTTGTCCTAACACGAAATAAAAGTAATCATTCAGCCACCTGCGACTACTTCCCGTTCCCAAAAGTTAAATATCCATTACGGGGAGGAAATCATTCGCTGAAGGAACTAAAGCTCAGAAGTGGATGGTAAATTTAAGTAATCGTCATCATGGTTGTATTGCCTCCAAAAGAACCCTATTTTGAAGACGATAGTAAAGATTTGCATTTTAATGCAAAAAATTAGATGGTTCGCAGTTGGATGTATACAATTACTATGAATAAAACTTTCTGCTTATAATTATTTAAAAAGCAAAATTTATTTATAATTTTGAATTTTATTTAATGAGTTAGATTGAATTAAGAAAAATTATAATTTACTTTGGAAAATTTAGAAATATAAGAAATGTGTTTTTTGTTTTCGTGGAAGTGGATACAGGGTATTTAAGAGTTGAGTTCACTCGACTTAACATTCGATTCTTGTTTTATTTTCATTCGTTTTTCATAAAAACTAAATACTTAATGCTTTTCTGTTGAACTTGCTCTACAGTCCGTTGCCATAATGTGGCAAACGCATGGTTAAAAACGGCCTCAAACTCTACATTTGTGTGTACATACATACATACATATGTATGTACATATAAACAATAAAATCTTGCTGACTGCAACTATTCAGCAACCATCATTGTATGTC